CGTTCTTCCATTTGATTTATTTCTAGTAGTTCTATTGCGGCTAGTGTTGTGCTCAGTAGCTGTCTGGTTACCTTCTGTAGATCACTAATGCCCATGCGTTGTGTGGTACTAACTGGTTGTAGTTCCCGATATATGTGGTTTGGAAGACTTTCAATGAACTGGGAGGCTAGAAACTCCGTCTCTGACTCTTCATCAAGTGTGAGAAGTGCACGACGATGTAGATTTCATCAGTCTCAGCATCAATACTTACTCCTCTTCTTCTTGTCTTAGCTTTTTAGTACAGAAATACAGCTGTCTGTCTACTGGACTGTCAAACTCCTCCATCTATCGTTCTACTACTAATTTCCAGGTCTTCTGCCCACCTAACTGCTCCATAGTGTCGTATGCTGTCTTCTGCCAAACTCTGAGTTACACTATCTCTTTGCCGTCGTAACATGGACGCTTACCAAATAACCAACAGCTTGAAAGTTCCACAAGAAGCTTAGTATGTCACAAACACACCCACTTCAAAAGCTATAGTAAATATAGTATCTTCATTTGTCCGTCAGCAGTGATACCATTTGTGTAGCAGCAGAATAGTAGTAGTATTCAGTAACGGAATTCTTTCTTTTGGGAGGGTGGATGCACAGATATAGCCAAAAAGGATCTAACCTGCTACTAAAGTTGTATCTTGCTCATGTCCTTTGATTTTGTTCCACTAAAGCTGTTCATTTCTTCTCTTCGCTATTAAGTCCATCCCTCAGCTATTCAATATTTTCGCATATATATATATATATATATAAATTCCTTTACTTCCTAGTGGAACATAGGGCCTCAAGCTGAACCTTTGAAGATTCCGTAGCGATGGCACTAGTGTTTTTGGGGTTGTTAGCCTCATGCCCAACCTTCTCCCTTCACCAGTCTTATTATTGGCTTAGCCAGGTTTAGGAGTGTGCCGACCGGTGACCGAACCCAGAACCACCTGCGTGGTTGGCGGGCATTCTACCGCTGTGCCACCAACACTCCATATGTATATATATTCTACCTACACACGTTTTATGTATTACACTCTACGCTTGCATTACTGAGAATAAATATATAAAACAAAACACGTAGTTCAGCGAAGAGTGTCTTTCCGGCGAATTCATTTTCTTAGCTGTACAATCGCAAAAATGTGTTATTGTGCATTATGTGTACATTGTTTGTCAAACAAAAATACAATTGGTTATGGTTATTTTAACTAGACAGGTGAAGATTAGTAATTGGAGTTATGTAATACAAAATCAGTCAAGAAAATTAGGTTTTAATGAAATTAGGTTAATAAGAAAGGTGTTGAGTTGTCATAAACAGTTTTTTAAAAAGAAGTTATGTGATCATATGAATGGTTTGATGAGTGAGCTTCACTCAGGATGAACATAGAAACAAAGTAGATAATACGAAATTACGTTGGAGTTCTAAATGGATAGAAAAATTATGAGCAACTAAAGAGCAGGCAAAGAAACAGAATTGAGTCATTAAAATTATTATGTACTCATCGCCAAATTATTGTTATGTACTGGTCGAGAATTTAATAGTCCTGACTCAAGAAAGACGGAAATCAGAAGACCACTAGGTTTGCGATGATACTTCTATTTTCCAAATATAAGGAGAATCAATGTGTCACACAAGTATGTGAGAGCAAAATATATATGAATGTCCGAACAAGTGAGTGAACAAATCAATAGACAGTCTTAACATGATTGGCTAATTATAATGGAGTATCGATCCATATATACATGGCGAAATATAACAGACTGTCAAACAAACACACATATTATATGGATATATATATCACCAAGGACAGACTGTCAACAAACACACATATTATATATACTATAAGGGGAATATACATTGTTAAAGGAGACAGGTTCATCAAAGTGAAATGGTCACAGACTAAGAGAGCAACAGAAAAAGAGACCACCATATATATATATATATATATGGATACATACCAAAAATCAACACAGTTGTTACCATGACAGTAGAAGTGGTTGAGTAATCTTCTTTGTGTGCACAGCTCCGGTTTTTGTATGTGAATAGCCAGAGCTTCAGCAATACGAAGAAGACGAAACCGTATTTCCTTTGGTAGGTTATTCTTGATTCTGTAGATTACTTTGGAGGAGGCGTTTGTTGAGGGGAATGATTAGTGTTAACCAGGTGTTCAACTATCACACTCCTTATTGCAACACTATTGCCTTTTTGCAAGTGGTAAGGGACTTAATTAAATTCAACTTTTGTAGAATGCCCCTCCCCCTAAAGAAGCTTGTTAGTTCACCATTCCAAGTAGCTTTTCTGTGTATCGATCTTCTTAGGTTCCCGTCGGTTCTTCCTGTTAGTTCCACATCAAGAAACGGAATTTTTGATTCGTTTTCCATTTCAAGGGTGAATTTTATTGCTGGATGGCAACAGTTAAATGTCTTCAGCAGTAGGTTGGGGTCATTGTTGTTGTCACAAATAATGAATATGTCGTCTACGTATCTTTTATACAGTCATAAATTGTCAATGCTCGACTTTAGTGGACCTTTCTCAAGGCTTGCCACGAAGCAATCTGATAGAAGTTGACCCAACGGAGATCCCATTGCAATACCATCTTTTGGTGTGTATATGGTGTTGTTGAAAGTGAACTGGACGTTCAGAGTGCATCTCAGTAGTAATTCCTTCAAATATGTTGTTGGTATTCCAATATTGAGATTGTTATCATCTATATATTTGCATATAAATCAGACCGTTTCCGTGAGTGGGACATTCACTTTCATATTGTATACTACTAATATTACAATAAGTGGCATTATAACAAACTTGATCTAACCAGACTTAATTACCACGTGTGTATGGTGTGTGTTGATATCTTCATCCGTCTATAGTTGAAACGATGCTCCCTACACAGATAAGTTAAGCGAGTGACCTTTATCAAAGTTCCTCCATTTGTAGTGACTGGTGATTGTTGTTGCTGTTTTTGGTTCGTTATCTCGGTCCCCTCCCCGTCTTCTGTATGTCCACTTGGAGTCCTGTGTTTGCTGCTTCTTCTGACAACTTGTTGGTCTCAGCCTGTAAGTCTTCAGATTTATGTAGAACTAGACATAAGTCGACCGTGAAATCCAGTTCTTGTGGAGTGTTCTTATCGGTTGAATGTATTCTTGTCTTCTCCATCCCCACAGTCTGCCGCTTAATTCCTTATAGAATAAGTTTTTACAGGAATTCTGTGTGAATGACACAAATGTTTTTTTATTGGTGGTGGCATTAGCTACAGTTGATTTTCTTAATAAGTTTTTTTAATCATTCCTGATGGTTACATTGAACTAGAATTTGACCTCCAGACCATATTTGAAAGCTTTTTGTAGTTGAATCATCCATTTCAAAAAGAATACAACTATACAAAAATACCTACGTGGACCGCAAATCCCAATGGTTTTATTCCTCTATCCACAAAACCTACTTTCTATATCTTATAGCTATAACTCTTTTGATTATCAGAGTTATATTTTCTCGCCTTTTCATCTTCTTAGTACTCTATTAAAAAAACAAAAAAAAAAGAATAAAAGAATAATAATACCTAATGAGTAGTTATTCTTTGTTTAAACTATAGTTTGTTTATTGTTCTTTATATGGACACTTTTTTTCATGATAATCTTAACAACACATTCATTCAAACAATGCGCAAATGCATGTCTAATAAACCTCCAACCAGGACGAAGCACCTGTCTAGTGTTCTCCGATTTTCCTTTGATTCCATCTCAACAAACGTCTTCTGTTTCAGAGTGATCCGCAAAGTTAAGAACAACCTACTCAAGACAATACCCTTTCGTCTTCTTTGTGGTGCTGAAGCCTCATTAATTCAGTTGAAGAAACCAGATTTATGTATACAAAAGAAAATCACACAACCACTTCTACTATCCTGGCAACAACCTTGCTGACTTCTGGCGACTTGATGTTTGTGTGCTTGTTTTTTTCTGACTCCTCATAACAGGCGTAATTTCTAGAACTGCTACATAACTCCATATCTCCTTTTGTTACTATGTGCATTCTGATCACAACTCACGCACTAAACTATTCGTCTTGTTGCGTAACTGTATTACGTTTATTCAACTCCTTTTATGTGTTGATTAACATTAATAACAATGTTTTTTGACAGCGCATCACCACTGCCCTCTCACTAATCTGCAACCTCACCTCTACCCTAGTTACAATTTGATTACTCACCACATTTTTGAAATGTCTTGGTAACAATAACCCTAACTAATTTTTATTCTTGTCTGATGAACCTAATGAAAACATAGAAACAAAAATAAGTGCATATAATAGCCATTTTACAGCTAAGTGAATGAATTCGCCCCCGAAAAGAGACTCTTCGCATGAACTACGTGTTTTGTCTTCATTAATCTCTCACCAATGTTGTTTTGTGTCGAAATATACCTTAGAATTGATTAAACCCCTAAAAGAAACTCGAAAATTAATCCACTGCTTACAACTGAACTGATTATGGACTTCCTTGAGTTCTAATATAAGAAGTCATGACCACTGGGATTGGTCCACCAAATTAGGTGTGTGAAGGAGGAATAATATTCTTCAATGAGATTGGGTGACGTCGACAGCTAGAAATCAATCAATTCCCTAAAAATCGGAACTTCATGAGGAATCATTTACCTAAATAAACTCTGAACATTTCAGTAATGTTTATGGTTTTCCACTCCTCGGTTTTTGTGATGTTTAGTTTTGTTCATGCACTTTTTTCACTACATTATTGTGTTTTCTTAAGTATCGTAACTTGAAATCGTTAAGCTTTGTATAGATATCCACATCTGCTAATCACTTTCGTGAATTATCCTGACTTACGTTTGGAAACGTCAGTGGAAACTTCATTTAGTATTTTGTACTACTTGAAATTAAATAAGTAGGGTGGTGAATTCTGAAAAATTAATAGTGAGGAGTTTGTTTTTTATATTCACCAATATTTAATTTTTTCACTATTTGTTATTCTTTAGGTGCTTTATCTTTATCAGTACGTGATACAGAGCAACAAAGAGGTGAAACTGTTAAACATTATAAAATAAGACAATTTACAGAAACTGGTGATGTATACATAACCACAAAACAAGTCTTTCCTGATTTAAAATCATTAGTTAATCATTATTCCACTACATCAGACGGTTTATGCTGTTGTCTAACACGCCCATGTCCAAGACCACCACCAGTACCTACAGATTTATCTAGATTAACAAGAGATCAGTGGGAAATATCACGTTCTTCATTGAAACTGATTGAATTATTAGGCGCTGGACAATTTGGAGAAGTTTGGAGAGGTAAGTTGTGTTGACAATGTCAATCGGTGAAAGTTTCCCATTTAAATGTGCTTATTATTGTAATTATTACCCTGAATTCCGAGTGCAATAAAGGCTTCAACAGCACATCCTTAATATTTCCTGGTTTCTGCAGTCCTCTGTAGCTGGCTCTACGATTACCTGTAGGTTCTCATCTCCCTCCTCAAACGATCTCCTCTATGTCACCCTTCGGAACTTCTATGCTCATCTCGTCGTTTCCCATTTAGGTTCCACTCAAGTCATTGCCTTGTGGAGGATATCACTTGGTGGTCTCTTTTAGCATGTGTTTGACCCGCCTGCATTTCGTCCGGGATGTTTGTTGTTGGGTAATGGGTTCTTGATTGGCTCGTTTCCTGTTTCTTGCTCTTAATCCTTTCTGGTTGATCACTTGATCTTCGGTATACACCAAAGTGTGAAGCTGAAGTCTGCAGACTATCAGAAATGCTCTTCCTGATGCGTTGAGTTTCCGACTCACATAGAAGAAAGGAAATCTGCCTTCATCAGTATGATCATGACCACATTAACAGGTATAATCAATCTGTTTTGAACCGAATAAAAACCTATAGATCCCAAGATATTCAAGCTGTAACTAGAAAGAATTTCTAATAAATTTCATATTGTCTAAGATCCGCTAATCAACTTACTAATTTTTAAGGCTGTTCTTAACTAAGAAATGGAAGATGAACAAGAACACACTGAGAAGATAAGTCTTAGTGTAATTCTGTTTTGAATCAATCACCCATAATTCCGATACCATCTAGAAAATGGTGCTTGAACGAATGGAAATAACTCTTTTGTATAGAATGAGTAAAAGGCAACTGGGGTATTGTTGAATAAATAACATATAAGGTAATTTTTTGTCACAAATTCACAAGATGGCTCTCGTAGCAGTCAAATCGTCTTCTGTTCAGCTGACTGCAGAAAAGACTAGTGTTGCGTGTACTAATGATAAGATTTATCAGTAGTATATAAAGAGACGCTCATCTGCATAAAAATATCAAGTAGCAGGGAGATAGAATTGACGTCAGAAAAAGAAAATGACACAACATTGTAGACATACGTGGGAGACGTGAAGTGAACACTATATGAAGGCCAGAAGTAGAAGATCTGTGCAAATGGTACATTGAAGATAAGGAGTACATCATTTTGCTATATAGGGATAGCAAATTGCAGATAGACATTCCTTTACCAAGTCTCTCGTTTGTTTTACAATCACACTAGTACCTACCCACTGGAATATACCTCCCAACTTATCAACCTGCCAACCGTATAAATGCTTCCTCATGAGTATCAAATTTTCATAGATTTGGAATGATTATTGCTACAACTACAGGCGGAACAGATGAAGATTTCAAATCCAACCAGAGTCGGAAAGGCGAGATACGCCTTCATCAACTTGTAACCAGTTTGAAAATCTTGTGCACTATGCCTTAGCACAAGCAGCAAGCTTTGGATTTTCAAAACAAATGTGAAGTTGGTCAGTTACTTCTTCTACACGGTTCAGAAAATTTGGTGTGTTAGGAAAAGGATCTCCAAAAGACCGGTTGCAGACTTTTATCAACAGCTGCCTTCTCCGGCTCCATACTGAAGATCAAATGGCTAGTCGGCTGGCAAGAAAAAATTAGCAACAAAAAACTCTGGCAACAAACCGACCAAGAGCAGATTGCTCAACCAATAAATATGTAGGAGAAAATGGAGATGGATCGGGTGTATGTTGAGGGGGCTGTCGAATGACATCGCGCGCAATCCAGGCCATTGCTCGAATGGAATCCAAGTGTGAAGCGACAGTGACATGGAGGAGATGGTGTGGCGAGGAGCTTAAACGTGAAACCTGATTGAAGAGGATGACAGGATATAGAAGAAAGTGGAGATGTACTGTTGAAGCCCTGTATTCTACTCGGAACGCAAGGGAATAATAATACAGTACGTGGGTTTTTTAATCTGTTCATTTTTCATTTATTATAAAAACTTAATTTTTAATATGACTTTATTCTATATTGCATACAGGTAAATGGAATGAAACTATTGAAGTAGCTGTAAAAACATTAAAACAAGGTACAATGACTAAAGAAGAATTTCTTAAAGAAGCACGTATAATGAAACAATTACACCATCCACGACTGGTACGATTATATGCTGTTGTTACAGCTGAACCAATATATATTGTCACTGAATTAATGTCCAATGGGAGTTTATTAAAATATCTACGTGATGGTCAAGGCAAAGAATTAGGCTTGAAACCACTGATTGATATGATGGCACAGGTAGGTAAAAACAAACAGTAGTAATAATGATTGTTGTTGTGCTTTTTTGTCTTGGAATACAAATATTTATAATTTCATGTATTCCTGATTCAAATAAGTATCAGTAGTGAGACCAATAATACTATAGTTGTTCAGTAGTCTCCCTATAATTACATAGAAAAGGACCAGACGTTCAGTAAAGATAGCTATTATTTCGGCGACTTAATCGTAGAAAGTTGTACAGTCACATTCATATACATAAGTTTACATAGATACTACTACTGTAACAACAGAAGACAAGGGCCAGGCAACAGATCGTTTTATTATGAAAATCAACACGTATTTATACATATTTCACATACATTATTATAGCTTATGCAAGTAGACAAGCGCAGTCATCTGATTGGTTGTTTATCAGAAGTTAGGCAGACAAACGCAGGCTTCTGATTGGTTGTTTCGGGATTCCTCGACAAATAGAGTTCTCTATCTGCGAATCATATTTTGCCACGTTAACTTTGCTGTGATTGGTTGTTAAATCAGCCTTGCTCATATTTTCTCACGGCCTGCTCTCACCACACTCGTCCCCCCGTCAAATACGTGCGACTGAAGTCGGCTTGATCTACTTGGTGCAGGCGTCATCGTTGGCTTGTCTCGCTGTATCCATTTCTGGAGCTCGCTGACGTTCACGCGCCTCTCATTGTTCGTCATTGCGATTGTGTCCGCGTAATCCCATCTCGAAGTGACCATATGTGGTCCTTCCCACTTTGGAAACTGTTTGCCTGACCCTGTCGAACATTCGTCAGTATTTCGTCTCACACTTTCATATGCTGCTTTCACCCGACCTCCCAGCAGCGTCTCAAGTAGCAGCTCCATCGCTGACAGATCTTGAACGCCACTCAACTGCGAAGAAGCCTTGAAGTCCTGCCCGAAGATCCATATATCTCCATCAAAAACAGCAGGGCATAGGCTTTCCATTTGTCGCTAGGCAGCGACACCAAATGTAACAACAGAAGACAAGGGCCAGGCAACAGATCGTTTTATTATGAAAATCAACACGTATTTATACATATTTCACATACATTATTATAGCTATGCAAGTAGACAAGCGCAGTCATCTGATTGGTTGTTTATCAGAAGTTAGGCAGACAATCGCAGGCTTCTGATTGGTTGTTTCGGGATTCCTCGACAAATAGAGTTCTCTATCTGCGAATCATATTTTGCCACGTTAACTTTGCTGTGATTGGTTGTTAAATCAGCCTTGCTCATATTTTCTCACGGCCTGCTCTCACCACACTACTACTATTATTATTACTATTATTATCATTACCATTCCTATTACCATTTAATTCCTTATAATAACGAAGAGGATTAAAGGTGATAATAATTTTCAAGCTGATGTGAATGTTCAAAGATGTGAATATTGATTACAATAGCCTTCGAACCCCGGTGGGTGCGTATTGCTGAAGAGTCCCAAACTAGGCTGACGAAACGCCTGGCTCTCCAGTACTCCCTACTGGTTTTCCAATGGTTCTCTAACCGATATCAGCTTATGATGAAATTCTCCAACCAACCACAAAATAATCTCAACGTAACCCATACTTCAAGATTAGAAAATAGTTTTCAGCGAATACAGGTGTGAATGGGATGAGCATGGAAACTAATCGAAATAGTAGTATTTATAACTCAAAATATAAAAAGGAAAAATATGAAGGGAGTGAAAAAACAAAACCAGAGAAGTCATATTTAGCTAGAGGTTAGACTAGTTTCTTTTGAGCACATCGCCTTGGCTTTCCGATGCATATAGCGATTGGTTTCTGCAGTACAAAGAAGGCGGAAGTACACTACTTTTGCTAGATTTTTGTTTACTTTGTAAGTGATTCTGAGTCATGGATGAGTCAGATGAGATGATGTGACAGGTGTTGACGAAGTTTTCAATTAGGACGGTTCTGACTGAACCCTTACCTCGTCTTTTCAGCCATGTTGGATAATGTTCTCTATGATATTTTGAAAGGATACACATAGCGTTTTATGTACTTAGCTGCGTAGGAGAAGGTGAACTGATATATTCACATTGGAGTGGTTACATGCGGGAGTTTTTCCTTCGTATTGCTTGGAAGTAGTGGGTAGTTATCGAATATCACTTTTAGTATTGGTGAAGGAAAGGTGTTATTTAGGCGACTGAAGATTGTCCTCTCTATGATATCTTCTGCTAAGTATCCACTGACGTCCAGATTGAAATATAGTATTTTCTTAGGTTCTGAAGAGCATTTTTCTCTTTTTGGCTATGGTTTCTTCTTCTTCCATACTCATTATTGTTTACACCTGTATCCGTTAAAATTATTATTTTGCATACAATGCAACTGTATCCCAAGCCTCTTGTAGCCTATATTCACGCCTTCGAGCTTTTATATGACATTGAAAATTATTATCACCTTTAATCCTCTTCGTTATTATTTGGAATTAAATAATAATAATAGTAATAACATTATCTATGTCAACTTATGCATACGAATGTGATTGTAAAACTTTTGAGGATGAAGTCGCTGAAAAGGTATGAGTTTGCTGAACTTTTTATTGTTTTAACTATCCAACTGCATCTATGTGTCATAGTGTGCACTCACTACCTCTTTTGAAGTAGGCTCCAACCTACCCGTTATGAAGGTTTTTAGGGATACGGAGAAAAAAAGGCCATTAGAATGTGTATGAAGAGGAACAATATTGCCTTAGTGGTCACAACCGTGCATAAAGTCATTAGCTTGATTCCTGTCGGCATACGACACTTCGTTAATCAAGTTATTCTCAACCTCAGTCGTCATTTTTACCATCAATAATATTCATTAAAGCAGCCCTATCGACTAGTTTAGTGGTAACATGCTTAAGTACAATAGGCTTTCCAATGGATTTAACACGCCAAAGTGTGCTACGATATTAAGTCATTTACTTTTGACGAGGAGAATAAACTTAAACACTAGTAACTATGGTGTAATAAATAATTTATTTATAGTTTGTAGGATGAGGCTATAAATCACCTTGTGATTCATCTTCTTATCGAGTGACTGTAAATTTTCATCATCTTATTTTTAACCTTGTTCCTAGGCGAATCGCCAAACAATCAGAATATTTATTTTTCTTTCATATAGCCGAATCGCCTAGCAATCAGAACAATGTATTTTCCACTGATCTAGCCGAGTTTTAGTGAGGTTAAAAATTATATAAAAATAATTGCTTTTTTCTAATATAGTTGTAACCTAACAGTCACAGGCCGGCTTTTGTCTTGATATTTACATTGCTCCGTGAAGCAGAAGGTACTAAGGACTAATAGCCGTATCTAGCATTTCAGTTGAGTTGTTCATCGAGTTCAGCGTTGAATTGAGTCTACATCAAGTTGTCATACAGCGTCGCGTTTCTTCGAACTCATTTCTTGGAGCATGTCTTTCATGTCCAAGGCTATGAGCCACACTTATTGTGTGTGCAGGTTGGAACGTGATTCAAACCCGGGATCTACTGAGTGATCTACTCGAATGCCTACTTAAGTCAGTAAACCACGTCTCCACACAGGGTCTTATAGAGTTTAGTATACTCGAAATGCTTACTGATAGATGAAGTTATCCATTACATCAAATTTATAATTTGAAATGTACAGAGTTCGTGCAGTGAAATTTCACTACAGTGTTTACTATGAAAACCAAGATATTCAGGTCAATTCAGTATGTGATCTGCTTGATACTAAAAGTGTTAATCAAGAAAGCAAGCATCTTTGTTTAAAACTATATACTACTGATTGATTGAAATGAGTAGTTGTCTTTCACTCATACCAACCAGATCGAGGTTATTTGAACACACTGGGCGGTAGTAGTGTTGGTGGCCTTTTCGCTCGCTTAGGGTCGAGCTCATAACTGATATACCCGGTTTGACTCAGCTGAAAGAGAGTCAAATCAATTCAAACGCCTGATGTAAATAGTAGACAACTAATCATTTCAGTCAATCAATAGTATATAATTCAATCTACTAAACCTCTTCCTCTAGTACTAGATGGTTATAATGGCATATCCTATATTATGGCATGGTTCATGATATTGTGAATTCAGGATTCAAATTAGGTTCCTAAATTACTGACTTTTGGATTACGCTATGCAAAATCGATTGTTTGCCATATCTAAATATAGATAAGCAGTAAGAAGGCGTAATTTATCTGAATCGTGTAACGGTATTTGCGTAACACTTATTTCGAACAATCTGATCACACATAAACTTGTCATAGGCATATATATATATATATGAAATTAATAAAGAGTTAAAGGGTGACAAATAGACTTAGGTCAAGTTAAAAGGACATATTGAAGGTAGAAATAACAATGAAGATCACCAAAAGTAAATAAGAGAGGCAGTAGTACATCTACCCTGGCTGGTATGAAAACAAAGTTTACCAAGTAAGGTTTAGTGTGATGACGAATTGTTGCTTTGAACGCATAAAAGTGGTTTTGACTTCCTAATTGTCAGCTAGGGCTTCCATAAACTTTAGGATACACCCCCCCCCACAAACACATTCTAAAGATAGGTTTAAAAGACGTGTAAACATCAATTTTATGTCCTGTCTCTATAATATGTTTCACAACAGAGGAGACTGGTCTCCTGTTCTCACAATTAATGGGTTATGGGGATTCTGTTTGCTTCTGAAGCCAAACGTTACTTGCAGAGATCGATGAGTTCTCCCTATATATGTAACTGTATCTGAACGCTGACAGTAAATTAATTTCACCTCTGTTTTATATGCTAATGATGTCAATCTTTGATGGCGCGAATAACGCTAAAGCAAGTAGACTTAGAACGGATTTAAAACTTTGTCTTCAAATCCACTGAAGGTTACAGTAAACTTCAATGCTGGACGGAAATGCTCGGTTTCTGCTGATATGTCACTTCTTAGTACAGACGCTTCGGTGGTTTCTAATGATTAACATGATGTCATTTCGTTGACGATGATAAGTAGTCATTTCATCCTATTCGGGACTCATCAGTTGACTGCGCTCGCATCTTCGGTAAGTGGTGGGGTCCTTCTTGACACTCGAATCTACTATCAATTGTTTCAACCGACAGAACAGGTACATCTCTCTGACATAGAACAAAGTACGTGTCTTGCGTCACACTGCTGGCTGCTACCAACCAAGTAATATGAGCAATTAACGAAAAGCACTATCCATTATAAACGGAAAATTCTCATTCCGAATCAGCGAGAATGTAGGCATAACAGCGAAGGAGATCTTCTGAGCTACACCTTTTGGTCGCCACGGATTTGGTCGTGAAATGAGATCAGTTAGAGAATCACTAAAAACCAAGAAGTACTAAACATTTGCTTAATTTTAGTTCGGAAATCTGGAGCACCACACAATCTCCATGACCCTATACTGGGGATCGAACTCAAGCCCACCATTTACATGGTGACACCCATTGGGGTCATAGACGCGTAAAGCTGAAGAGTCTCAAAACACAACGAAACAACTGTTCTCTAATTGATGTTAATTTGTGGTCTAATTTTCTTTACATTTATCCACCTAAAAATGTCATCGTGAAATGGAGCTATTCAAATAAAAAGATGAAGTAGTGTGCCGTTGGTGGTTCCGTGATAGAACAGAACACACTTGCCAACCATGAATGTGGTCCAAGGTCTGGTCACCGGGCAACGCACTCCCAAATCTCGCTTAGCCGGTAGTAATCTCCGTAAACAGGGAAGTTTGAAGGTGAGGATAGTAGTCTCATCCCTTAAAAAAGAAAACAAGAACATTATTGCTACTGGAACTTCAAAGTTCAAGCGTGCAAACGTTATGTTCCATTCGAAAAACAAAAGAATAATAATAAATGAAAGGTTTCCCCCCACACCCAAAAAATATATATATTCTGTGAGAATTCTGAAATGATGGAGAAGATTTTTAGCTCAGATGAATGATATTGAATTAGTTGTGTTCTCTGATCTAGTGGACTCAATTGCGAAGCTTTCGTCATCCTTCTTCTAGACAACATCTTCAGTATAGGTTCTAGTATAAACCACCTGCACTGAAGATGTTGTCTAGAAGAAGGATGACGAAAGCTTAGCAATTAAATCAACCGGCTGAGACAGAGAAGACAACTGATCTTGTAAGAATTCATTTCACAAACATTGTAAACATTATGCAACCGATGTCATCTATCTATCTCTGTCACAAAATGTTTATTATTAATAATTTGTTATCTATTTTAATTCTCTGTTATTACAGATAGCTAGTGGTATGGCATATTTAGAAAAAGAGCATTATATTCATCGTGATTTAGCGGCAAGAAATATTCTTGTCGGTGAAAATAATATTGTTAAGGTAGCTGATTTTGGATTAGCTCGAATTATTGACAGTGCAAATGAAACATATACAGCTAAACAGGTAATTTTTATCCTTTTTGTTTTTTTTTTTTACAAAAGAAACATTTACTCAGTGAAATTTTCTGCCATACATTGAAAGTGTATTTCATTTACCGCCTATTTTAATTGGGTTTTTTCATTGATGAGTTTTAAGTGCCGGTTTATTATCATTATTATTCCCTAAGATTCCCAGTGGAATATAAGGCTTCAACAACACATCTCAACTTTAACTGCTTCTCTGCATTCGTTTTCGACCGGCTTCGCGATTGACCACAAGCTTTCATCTTCTTCATGTTACCTTTAGACGCCTAACTCATCGTTTCCCAATCGAGAGCCTGGCGTGTGATGTCATCCCATGGTCTTCTGAGCATGTGTCTGATCCATCTCCATTTGTTTTTCAGAATATTTGTTGAGCAATAGGTTTTTGATTGGTTTATCCCAAGGTTGTTTGTTTTCACTAATTCTTTCTGGTCATCTGATCTTTATGGTTGATGCAGTAAAGGCAGCTGTTAATGAAAGTCCCCTACAGTAGGCTGTTGGAAAATACTTTTGATGACGTGTAGGCCGAGTTTCTGACACATACAGAAGCATTGACTGACCTAACATTGGTGTTGTTCTTTTATGTTGAGTATAAAATGAAGTCAACTGGTGGTCATTATTCCATGAGATATTAATTTTACTGGTTTTGTGATAACTTTGGATAGTTGATTAGGGTTTTGGTTGTCTAAAGTGCTATTCTCATTCTGCTTACACCCTGTAACCAATAGCATAGATTGATATTTGATATCAAACACATTAGCCTTTAGAGTTTTACAACTAGTAGTATGCTTAATTCTAGTATATAATTTGATAAAGATATGCAATCTCCTATTGACTTTCAATACTTATCATATATGTGTAAAACTTGGGCACTGTGGTATTAAGTAATTCCATATTAGTTTGATTATTAAATGTATCACACAGTGAAACAGTATTGTATACTGGATGACGTTTCGAACACAATTTATTGTTCATAATCATATCAATTTTTGTCACACGACTTCGAGATTTGATTTTTATAGTTTTCTCTGTCTTCTCCTATTTGTTGTATGGGCAGTAGAATTTTCCATATATCTGGGACAGGTGTTGAATCATTCCTATTACAATAATAATAATAATAATGGTAATAATAATAGTAATAATAATAATAATATTAATAACGACACCAACAATAAGGAATGTAAATCATCAACAATAATTCCATACAAAGAAGGAACCTCGGAAGCCTTACGCAGAATTCTTAACAAGGCAGGAATAAAAGTGGCATTCAAACCCACAAACTCAATTAGAAACAAGCTTTGTCGGTTAAAGGATCCTGTAGAGCCATTAAAACAAAACAATTTAGTTTATCTAATACCCTGCAATGATTGTGAGGTCAAATACATAGGTCAAACTAGTAGAACAGGGGCAGTCAGACTAGCCGAACATAAAAACCTAGCTAAATCTAGATTGGTTGACCCGAATAAGATAAGAAATCTAGAGAGTAGTTCAGCTTTAGCACTACATGCAGTTACACACAACCATACAATAGGATGGGATAGGATGACAGTTTTAAAATCTAATGTCACAGGGTATAGGGAGAGATTGATAACAGAAGCTTTGTTTATCGAATCAACTGCAAATACATGTAATAGGAATGATTCAACACCTGTCCCAGATATATGGAAAATTCTACTGCCCATACAACAAATAGGAGAAGACAGAGAAAACTATAAAAATCAAATCTCGAAGTCGTGTGACAAAAATTGATATGATTATGAACAATAAATTGTGTTCGAAACGTCATCCAGTATACAATACTGTTTCACTGTGTGATACATTTAATAATCAAACTAATATGGAAGCAATACTTATCAGCCTATATCCATACAGTAAAATACGGAGCACCGTCGCCCTTTGCAGCTGACGACTAACGGCTAACTTATTACTTCACTGATGTTGTGACAGCGAGTTTAGTATAGAGAATAATTCGGTCAAAACTCATGATTAAATACAGCGCACCTCAATGGCTATTGAAAATGTATGATGTGAATAGATTAGTTATCTTTGATCACAGATATTTGCGTTCTATCTCACGTCTTAAGCAGTATAATATGTTGAGTAGTATGGAGGATAGGCGTAGTTTTATTTGAGGAGAGTTAGTAAATGAATGAGATAAGCAGCCACTGTTGTAACGGAGTGTTAATAACCTTTTGGTTGTTGTCTATGCTGATTGCAATGCGTCTCTCCAAAACAACTGATCACTTGGAAGTATTCCTACACACCAAGGTAGACACAGAAGTTAAATTTAACTACGACAACTACTTTATTATTCGCAGTGCAGAGAAAACATATATATACATATCGTTTACACATCAACAGAAATTAAAACTATGGATAAATGATCAATATATAATTGGTTGCATCAATCATGACTACACATCTCATGATCAAGGCACTCTACTCGAACTCATGCAGTCAGCCAGATGAGAGCCTAAGGAAAGTTCTCATCTGAAGTGGTGACAACTAGTGGTGTCCGTCAGGGATGCCCACTATCCCCATTTCTGTTTAATTTCATCACAGATGTACTAATGGACTTAACTCTAACTGACTTCAGCGACTCCGGGATTGACTTATTACCATCAGGGAATAATCTTGCCAAAATAGATTGTGTAGATTATATAGATGATATGTAAGTGAAGACGCTCACAAAATGCAGAGTCTTCTGAACACCTTGAGCTGCAATCTACGAATTTTCGACATGCGCTTCGCTCCCACCAAATGTAAGTTGATGCTACAGGACTGGACTACATCGACTTATTCCTAGCTCAAAGATGGGGAGTGAAGTGGTTGGTGGAGGGTGTTGACCACGAAGGTTATTGCGAATGCAAATCATACCAGCTTCTATGAATTTAGTGAATGAGTACCGTGAAGACGGAGTATTTAACTACTGTGTCAATAAAGGATTGACTGGAGTCACGAAGATTTGTGTGTGTCTGTGTGTTGGGTAAGAATTTGACAGCACGGCAATACCACCTTGTGGGAGATAAATACCACTGTACGTGCAATTCTTGCTATAAGAAAAATATCTGTTCGTGAAGGTAGGTGCAGCATTTCACTTATTCCCTAGGTTCCATTTGTCAAATATCCTACTGCTCATTTATTGTTGCATTTCGCAAAAACCTGAGATGGAAAGTAGCCTAGTTTCCACAGTACGGTGGTATTATAAATGTAGAGATGTAGCGTCATGGAAGTTATAGAGGGCTACTGCCTGCCTAGGAGGAGTAGAAGTAACCATTCATATTGAAGAAACAAATCTCATGAAGAAGTATAATGAGGAGAGCGAGAAGAGCTAATCAACTGTGGGTACTTGGAATATACGATACTTCACTACGTTAAAGGTTTTGTGGAAACAATAGCAAACAGACATCTCGGAGTATTAATTTTAATTATTCAGCGCTTCGTAATGTCAGAAACGATTAAACATGTCTACTAATGGAGGGGATATAACCAGTTGCCTATCGTGTTAACTACTCCTGAGATCTTGTAGATTTAATAACAGGTACACACACAGAATCCATCGAAGGATATTGGGGAAGTTAAAGAAGATAATTAGGAATATCAATGAATCCCAAAGTAACATGATGTTCATGACACGCCAGGTCTCATCTGTATAGTAACTAGCGTAGGCGTAGAGTTCTAGGTAAACAGGGGAAATCAATCGACGAAGTCGTGAAGTTACAAAGACTGAGATGGTAAGGACATGTGTTACGTATGCCAAGCCATCGCCTCCCTCGACGAGCAATGTTAGCGGATATAGTTGGTCTAAGCCATGTAGACTTCCAGGCTGGGGTCCTCGGGACGGTAAAAATCTATTGTTGGAAACAATTGGTGACATGGCTAGCTCAAAATCGTTCTCAGTGGCTAGCGCAGATGCATCCACTCCTTGTGACTTATGATCTCCAATGAAACTGTTTTGTTCTTCGTTATTACTGCTCCTTTGTCTCACACCTCTACTCACTGTTTCTATTATGCTTTTCTTGTACTTTCTTCTCTTGCTTCGCATGTTACACGGAATGTGGCGACTTGAACTTCCGCACATTTGTGCAAAGTTCTATGTCGAAAACAGACAGAGACAGACAGAATTACCACTGACTTCACATTGGATTTGAAAATCAGGATCCTACTTTTCATGCTGAGTAGTGCTGTCGATCTTCACACAGACTTGAGAGTAATTAAAGCTTGCCTTGCCTTCCCGATCTTTGCTTTGATATCGCCATCAGTTCCGCCTGTAGTTGAGACGATGCTTCGCAGGTTGGTAGGTAAAGGAGGTTGCCTCTTTCAGATTTCTCCTATTTATGCTGATTGTTGTTGCTGTTGGCCAGGAATCACTTCTGTTTTCTCTAGGGAGTCACATAGGAATTCAACTTAATTTCACACTTTTTCATTCATTATAATCAGGTAACTTTTACATAGGGTAACGGCTTAATCACTTATATATATATATATATATATATATATATATATATATATATATATATATATGCGTCGGTGGCACAGTGGTTAGGACTCTCGCCGACCATGCACGTGGTCCGGGGTTCGAGCCCACGCCGACGCACACCTGATGTCTATGGTCGGCCTGCAAAATTTGGGCTACCGATATCCATGCTGAAAATTCCATACTTGTACAAAAATACGGTGTGGAATCAAGCTGTAATCAAAAATAATATATATATATATATATAGTTTGTAGAAGTAGTAATTGAAGTAGTAAAATGTTTTACTTTGATTGAATTCTTTTTCTTTATTTAGGGTGCTAAATTCCCTATAAAGTGGACAGCACCAGAAGCTGCATTAATGGGTAGATTTACAATCAAATCAGATGTTTGGTCATTCGGTATAGTGATATATGAAATTATCACTTATGGACAAGTACCATTTCCATCAATGAATAATACAGAGACATTACAACAAGTTGAAAATGGTTATCGTATGCCGTGTCCTGTAAATTGTCCCAATGCTATTTATGAAATTATGCTAAATACATGGGATGCTAAACCAGAACGTAGGCCAACATTTGCATTTTTATGTAATTATTTTGAAGATTATTTTGCATCAGCTGAACTGTCTTATCGTCCAGCTGAAAATAATACTCCTTTAATCCCTAATAATAATAATAATAATAATAATGCCACCAATGGTAGTAAACATGTTGGCAGCAGCAACAATGGGAACCAACTTCATCATCGTCATCATCAACAATTAGAATCTCATTCAGTTAAAGAGAAACATTCTCATCAAATATCAATACATCAAGATAAAATTATGCTGTATAATAGTAATAATAATAATAGCAATACAAACAATAATAATAATAATGAGTCAAATGATGAACACTCATCATCGAATAATTTAACTCAAACGTCATCAGCACAACAATTGACAACTTCATCTCATATTTGTACAGTTCAAATGTGTTAATCACGTACACAAGACAATGAAACGTATTACTGTTGCTGGTGTGTTTTTCTTCACTTGATTCATTCAATCAGGTATGTGTATACAGATAATTAAATATATAGTTTTATGTGATTAAAATAATAATAATAATAATAATAATAATAATAATAATAATAGTAATACTACAAATGTAGACATTTCATCATGTATTTATTTCATCGTCATGAGGAAAAGGGGAAGGGGGGATATAATGAATAAGTAAATAAGCAGAAATTCATTGATTTCTAAATATATGTAAATGTGCCTTACTATGATCATTATTATTTGTATGAACTGAAATAGTCATGGCTCCAATCATCACATTGATACTATACTCACTGATCAGGGATTGAAAGAAGAGAAAAAGAAGAAGAAATCAAAGCAAACAATATAGACACACACGGATAGATATACATATGCACACACATACACACAGACCGTTCCCCTGGTCTCCTAAAATTCATTATATATACTTACATCCAAACATACATACATACATACACACACTTATGTATGTATATGTATTGTCCCGGTGTTTATTCAAAGAAGATATTATTGTTATTAATATACTAACGTCTGGTATATAAGCAATATTGGCAGACAATCTCTGTCTAATATATTACACAAAGAACACGTTTTTGATTAGTCTATACATATGTATAACGAATAAGCAATCCAGTCAACACATTTAAATATCAGAGATGTAGACGAATACAAGAGCCGAAGTCTGTTCATCATCATCACCATTATTATTATTCATCAAAATGACGACGTCAAAGAAAAAGGCGTTTTTAATTAATCATGTACAATTTAAATCATCATTTTCTACTCTCTCTCTCAAAAAAAAAATCAATATTATTATTGTTATGCCATACATATTTCTTTCGGTATTTCCACTTTATGATACATTTTTAAAAATATCATAGTGATATAATCTACAGGATAAAGTGTACTAACAAAGGAAGAAGTATAATGTCTGAAATTCTCTTTTTTTGACAGGATAATCAATACATGTTGTTTTCTTTTTTCTTAATGGTGGCGCCAACGTTTTTTTCTTAGAATTCCTTTAATTCTCTCTTTCCCTCTCTGAAGGGAGATTGATTGCACAATACAATCATTCATTTACTGAACTGTCTGTTTCATCCCTGTCTCGCTCTCTCTCTTTCTGTCTTCATGCATCTCTTGACTATTCTGTGTGCATAATTTCAAAATAATTGTACTTATTTTATATTTACTTAGGTAGAAAGTTTACCATCGAACTATTTACTGGGCTAAATTTCATTTCCAGTGACTTGCACTGTACACGTGTGTGCGTGTACACACATTGCACTTCACAACACAACATAAGAAGTTTGTATAAATCTCTTTTATTTGAGAATATATCAAAGTAGATCTGATGAAATAAGATCACCTTTTAGTCTTTCTGCTAATTTCCTCTCCTATTTTAACTGTTTAATAAACCCATACTCACATCGTTTTTCGTAAGCACACACACACACACAGAGACACAAACGTGCTGTATACATTTCCTCCTTCACCAGACAATAATGATCACACCAAAAAATATCGTATAACTCCTTTACCTTATCTGGTTTTCTTTTCTGCTTAATCTATGATAGCTGAAAAATAGTCTTTGTGTGTATGTGTGCTTATGTGTGAGTCAGTGATTCAGTGAGTGAGTGTGTAATGGTATGAGGCACATTTCATCGACCTACTGAGGTAATTTTTAAAAAAAAATTATTATCTCATTTGTATTTATTCAAACAAAATAGGATTTTTCACTTCATCAACACAAACAAAACTCGAATATGAAAATTGTGTGTTAGGGTGTTAATTTTCACTCATCCACAATTACTTTTATCACTGCCACCACCACCCTTTTTTCTTTTCTAAATGTGCTGTTTTGCTGTTGTCTGCCTTCGAAATTTCCTTAAACAAAAACACACTTTGAAAAAAAACTGACTCTCAGGATGAAATGTACAACTGATTGGAGTAAAAAATGAAATAAAAAAGCAAACAAACATACATACTACTACTACTGCTGCTGGTATAATGAATCTTTTTTGTCTCCTCATTATTACAACACACTAGAGAGAATTTGACTCAATAATTTACTTAAGGATTTATAAAATGGCGTAGAAACAGTTTATTGGTTCAGGCCAACTAATTCAATAATCGGTTACAGGATTTCATCATGTGCTGACATCGGTGACAGATATCAGCTCATCAATCAAATCCCTACAAACCAATACTTGGTAATTTAATAATATTCTGAGTTATACAATGTCAGTGATTCAGTAGTAGATTGCGCAACTCCCAACTATATACGAGAGTTTCGAGTTCCATTCCCATCCGATGCATTCCTAAAGTTCACCTAGTCTACTTGCTGGCCGATAGGTAGTAAAGCTTGGCGAGAAAAACAGAAGTCTGGCTGGGCATATATATGCCTAGCAACCCCACACCCCTTGGAAAAAACAATACTATCGCTAATCGAGTCTTAAAAGCTTGTAGAACCCTCCATGCTATGTTCCACTCTAGTTGGAATGTAAAAGATGAAGCGAAAATCTCCCGTAAAAAATTTACGACGAATAAAGTAAAAGACAGATTCAGCGGAGAAAATTTTATTTATGGACGAAATCATCTTCAGAGGCTGTACAGTCGTATTTATGCTTACAAAAATATATAGTGGTCTATTATTGAGTAATAGGGGGTGACATAATTGATATAATAATTACTCAGAAGTGGCTTTAGAAGTAAAAAATAAAAGTTGTAAATTATGTGGTACTCAACGGAACAAAGTTATAAATTCGATAAGGTTAAAATTGCTCTTGAGTGAGAGAGAATAAAGTTAGTTGAGTGTCAATTTAACAAGTGTGAAGAGGGTGTAAAAATATACAAAAGGTGCATATGAGTGATAATAGTGAATTAATTATTAAAGCAAAAGCAAACTAAAAGAAAAATTGAAAAGAAGAGGAAAAATCAAATTTTTTTACAGGGAATGATTAGTGAAGAGGTTAAGACCAAGGTAGAATAAGAGACTGGGCAAACTTTTTCTCTATACACAGTTCAGGGTTGTATTAATGAATTGCCAACCCCTCCGCCATACACAAAAGCCAAAACCTGACACCCTTTGTACCATTCGGTTTCACTTTGTAGATGATCTTGAAAGACGACTCTGGTAGAGCTACGTGGCCTGAGTTCACCAAATGCTCGAGAATTGAGCTAGTAATTGTCTTACATTGTCCCTTTGCTAACCATGCCGGATAATGTTCAGAGATGCGTTTGGGAAGCGTGCGCTTTACATATATATATTGATATGTAGTCACATGATGTCTGTTTTGTTTTTGACAGTCTGATATATTTTGCTATGTGTATATTGACCGATATTACATTGTAACTCACAATATGCTTTGTCTGTCCATTAACCAAATAAACAATGTATGACCTTTTTATTACATGACATTACAACCCATCAAAATCCAATGATGGTAAGAAATACTACTATCTTTTTCTCCTTCACTTTCCCCAGTGGAACATAGGGCTTCAAGCTAGTGGCTTGAAGCTTCTTCAGCAGTGTTTATTTTACAGGATGGTGTTGCTAGTCATGCCCAACCTTTCCTCTTTACCAGCATTATTTCTGAATTAGCGAGGTAAAGGAGTGCGTCGGCCGAGGTTTGAACCCCGGACCATGTGCATGTCCTAGCCGCTATGCCACTGACGCATGTATATTAGTTATTTTCATATATACTCCGCATTGTACACTTTTACACTCTCGTCCACACCTGTCGTACACTAAGTACCTTTTTACTCACACACTTGTGTGACAGTCAGCTTCCCTTTTTGGAAAATACACGTATCATCGTGGACGTGATGGCCTTTTGACTTTTCTCTTTTCGCGTCAGATCAATTAACTACTCAGCAGTACATAAGATTTATTGGTGACGGAACCATAAGATATATATATATATATAATATTCTAGAGTAGTCGTCAATAATAATACTGGTGTTTTGTTTTAAATACCATCGATCTGTAAAGACCACAGAGGAATTACCACAGTTCAAGAAAGATGCTTAAGTTATAATAAGCACAAAAATGTAATACTAAATAGAATATGAAATAAAATTTAAGAGATTCCTACAACAAAGAAAGGACAGTGTCTGAATTAGCTTCTTTTGGATACATAAGTTAGGTTTCGTAATGTGGATCCTACCAACCTCAGCAATATGTAATAGCCGAACTCGAAGTAAAATTAAGCTTATTTGGTATATGGCAGATGAATTTGGAGGCCTTATTTATATCAATTTTGTGTTCTGTATCTAAGGGATAAGACAGTATAGAACGATGAATGGACTTGGTTTATCGTCTACACAACCACTTTGCAGGGTGGTGTTCGGCAATTCAACGATAAACACACGACAATAATTGTACGGCCTAAGTAACCAACTGGCTCATTCCACGGGAGCAGTCAAATTGGTAGATACACCTGGAAGAAGCGAAATCAAGCAGTTCGACTGACTGGTTTCGACGTAGAACTTTGCACCGACCTGCAGCATTTCAAGTCACCACATTCCATGTAGCACACAAAGCAAGAGAAGGAAGTAAAAGGAAACTCAAAATAGAGATAATAAATAGAAATATGGGGCAAAAGGAATAGTAATGTGGAAGAATATAGTTTTATTGTATAAGTCACAAAGAGTGAATACATCTTCGCCACCTACTGAGAACGATTTTGATCTGTATCACCAATTATCTCCAGCCGCCATTGGTTTTTACCATCCCCAGGACTTTAACCTGCCAGTCAGGAAGTTTACACCTCCCCACATGGCTGCCTTAAACTAACTGTTGTGGATGTATTTAATTGACTGATGATAAATCCATGTTTTGGCTTGACCACCACTAGCCAATTCTTTTCCAATCTAATCGATGCTAGGTCAGCTAACATTGTCCAATATAGTGGAAGGCGATGGCTAAAGAAGCATGCGTAATACATGTCCTAGCCATCTCAATCGGCGTAACTCCACAGCTTCGTCGATTGATTTCCCTCCCACCCACTTAGCACTCGACCAACGCCTAACCTCAATATTGCTCACCTTATTATACCACCACCTTACACGGGAGATAGAAGGCAGATACCTATTATCAAAGATAGCTAACTAGCCAAGCCTCTTCATGTCTTTCACTTTCACTAGTCATGTGTCACAGCCAGGCATTAAGGAGTACAGAGCGAAGTGACTGCTGAGCAGTATCCACATATTTTGGTCGACAGTCGGATATCACGTCTACTAAGCCAGAGATGGCGTATGTTGGCAGGTAGATGTCAAATGAGGCTTCCGTATCCGTGCTGAGACTTCGTCAGTGATCAACCTTTTGGGGCTGGCTGATGCAACTTCTCAAATAAGTGAAGCGATCAACACCCTCCACCAACCACTTCACTCCCCATCTTTGAGCTAGGAATAAGTCGATGTAGTCCAGTCCTGTAGCATCAACTTACATTTGGTGGGAGCGAATCGCATGTCGAAAATTCGTAGATTGCAGCTCAAGGTGTTCAGAAGACTCTGCATTTTGTCAGCGTCTTCACTTACATATCATCTATATAATCTACACAATCTATTTTGGCAAGATTATTCCCTGATGGTAATAAGTCAATCTCTGAGTCGCTGAAGTCAGTTAGAGTTAAGTCCATTAGTACATCTGTGATGAAATTAAACAGAAATGGGGATAGTGGGCATCCCTGACGGACACCACTAGTTGTCACCACTTCAGATGAGAACTTTCCTTAGGCTCTCATCTGGCTGACTGCATGAGTTCGAGTAGAGTGCCTTGATCATGAGATGTGTAAAGTCATGTGGTCTATCTGAGTCCAGCGTAGATTTGGTGATGGAGGTCGCCAGGTTGCGCAATGTCTCTGTGCTTAAAGTTAGTGTTGAATAGGAACAGATGATTATCTGAACAAAACTGTAGAAGACGATCACGGTTGTCGGCAAGGAACTCCATACGTACCACCTATATACTTATCAGTCTTGCATAACTTACCTACTTGGGCATTGAAGTCGCCTGCTATAACAACTATATCTGAAGGTTTTGGCTTTTTTTGCAAATTAGACAGTTTCTGGTAGAAGTAATCCTTTAGTTCATCCGAAATGCAGTCTTTTGGGGCGTAAGCGGATACTACGAAAAGACAACGATGGGTAACGCCGTCCTTCCTTCTTTTAACGGACCCATTCAGACGGACCGCACACATACGACCATCTGCTGGGATCCAGTCAAGAAGGGATTTTCCCGCCCTAACAATCATTGCTATCCCTACACCTGCAAGTCCTCGCGACCTAGCCAAGTGGTCTCCTGACACTCTCAAAGTGAATTTTGCAGATTCACCTTGTTGGCCGGGTGGAGTTGAGTGAATGACCACACTCGGGTCTCCAAGACACAACTTACATCCATGTCTCTAGATGCCAGAGTTCGCACTAATGATCCCTGTTATCCGATTTGGCGGAGGGTTCTGATATTGAATGCCCCAATATGAAGTTACTGACGTCGTTTTAAGAGACTATCGGGGGTGTCTCTATGGCTCTCATCGTTGTTTGTGGTCACAGAGTGAAGTGAAGATGACTCACTAGCATGCAGAATAGTACTGACTGTAGTAGGGGAATAAGATGATGCAGGTGATATGGATATAGGAGAATGATGCTCAGGAAAGCTTCGTGTGCTTTTTGGAGTGTGTGGGCGGTTGTTACTTCCTGGCCGTCCACACCGCGGAAGTTGGTTCTTTCTTGGGGTACCCGAAACAGAGACAATTAGTACTGCGTGACTGCAGAGACGGGGAACAACTGCTTGAGGCCGGTCACACATGTCTGTCTGTTTTCGACATAGAACTTTGCACAAATGTGCGGAAGTTCAAGTCGCCACATTCCGTGTAGCACGCGAAGCAAGAGAAGAAAGTACAAGAAAAGCATAATAGAAACAGTGAGCAGAGGTGTGAGACAAAGGAGTAATAAAGAAATACAAAACAGTTTCATTGAAGATCATAAGTCACAGGGAGTGGATGCATCTGCGCCACTGAGAACGATTTTGAGCCATGTCACCAATTGTTTCCAACCATAGATTTTTACCGTCCCGAGGACCCCAGCCTGGAAGTCTACACCTTCCTACGTGGCTTAGACCAACTGTTGTGGATTTCATTGACTGATGAAGCCAAGTTTTTGTTTGACCGCCGCTAGCTTTTTTCCAGCCTGACCCTATATCCGCTAACATTGCTCGTCGAGGGAGGCGATGGCTTGGCATACGTAACACATGTCCTAACCATCTCAGTCTTTGTAGCTTCACGACTTCGTCGATTGATTTCCCCTGTTTACCTAGAACTCTACGCCTAACCTCCATGTTGCTCACCTTATTATGCCACTTTACACGGGAAATAGAACGCAGGCACCTATGATCAAAGACAGCTAGTCTTTTCATGTCTTCCACTCTCAGTGGCCAGGTCTCACAACCATAAAGGAGGACGGAGCGGACTGATGAGCAGTACACCCGCCCTTTGGTCGATAGTCGAACATCTCGTCTACGCCAGAGTCGGCGTAAACTAACAAATGCGAAACGAGCCCCTTGTATTCGTGCTGAGATTTCGTCAGAGATCAGCCCGTTGGGGCTGATGGTACTTCCCAAATAAGTGAAGCGGTCAACGTGCTCTACCACTTCACTTCCTATTTTTAAACTAGGCGTCGATGTAGTCCAGTCCTGTAACATCATCTTGCATTTGGCGGGAGCGAATCGCATGCCAAACATTCGTAGATTGCGGCTCAAGGTGTTTAGAAGACTCTGCATTTCGTCAGCGTCTTCGCCTAGAAGGACTATATCGTCTGCATATTCCAAGTCAACGAGATTATTCCCGGTAGCAAGTCAATCCCTGAGTCGCTGAAGTCACCTAGGGTTAAGTCCATTAACACATCTATGATGAAGTTGAATAGAAAAGGAGATAATGGGCATCCTTGACGGACACCACTGGTCGTCATCAGTTCAGATGACAGCTCGCCGTAAGCCCTCACCTGGCTGTATGAGTACGAGTAGAGTGCCTTAATCAGTGCAATATATTTTCTTGGAATTCCCTTTACAGCCAAGCATCTCCAGAGAACTTCCCGATCGACAGAGTCGAATGCTGCCTTTAGGTCAAGAAATATAATGACTGTTGGACGCCGGTAGGAATGCCTATGTTCTAGAATCTGTCGGAGGGTGAAGATATGATCAATACACCCTCTTCCTGGTCTAAAGCCTGCCTGGCTCTCTCGTGTTTGTGCTTCCCGAGCACCACTCAGTCTACGCATGATTATTGAGCCTAAGACTTTAGATACTATATTAGTCAAGCTAATCCCTCTGTGATTATCACAGGAAGACTTGTCTCCCTTCTTGTATATGGGGATAATCAGTGACTTACACCAACCCGATGGGACTTCTTCTGATTCCCAGACGCTGCCTAGTACCTCAGTTAATCCGGACAGTAAGCTGTCTCCACCGTACTTAAATACCTCTGGAGTCATTCCATCAGGTCCCGCTGCTTTGCCTAGTTTCAGATTGGTGACAGCTTTAGTAACCTCAGTTAGTGACGGAGGACCTGTGTTTATATCCCATTCAGGGAGGTGTTGGATGCTCGGAAGGTTGAGCGTGGCTGTGGGCAATTAAACTGCTCCTCATAATGCTCTTTCCAACGATCCAGTCGTCTATCCTGGAGCTAATTATAGTGCCATTTTTTCCGATGATGAGTCAAAGAGTTGCCTATCCTCAAGCTTTCTCCATCTCTTTGGCTTTTGCGCCCACCACTGTTCACGGTCCTTGCGGAGACTTTTCGTAAGTTTCCTTTGTGCAGCTTTCGCTCCCATTGAATTCGGAGCTCGCCGGAATAAGTCTTCTAGCATCTATCAGTTCGGATGAGCGTGAATCCATGGTTTTTACTCCTGTATGAACTGGTTTCTCGGATTGGTCCCGTATTAGTAAACTTACCGCCGGTTACGGATCACCGTAGAGTAACTTGGGATGTACAATTTTTGGAGTCGACATTTTTTAACCCCCTCTCTCCAGAGTGGAGAGACAGCCTAGCTGGCATGCCGATCGTCTGAGGGAAACCCACTTACTGCCATTACATCCCTGTTTCCCAAGAGTACGGCTTCGCCCACAGACCCCCAGCATATTGTGAAAAAAATTCTTGCACTACGACGGCAACTGCTTTTAGTCTAATCGTTAACCTAACAATCGTCCTGGCATGGTAGGACCTGCAGGAACAATAGTTTCAGCCAATGAGTTTGTTGAGTCATTTAGATTTGCAAGCCCGATGACCATCTCAAGGTAGCAGCCATCAGTCGAGAACTAAGCAGTTTATTTTTAACTACTCCCGAACGCAGAATAGGGTTGGTTTTGAAAACACAGCATAATTCAGTAGCACTGAATGCTGTTTTCACCACCGTATTCCTTAGGCGTTGTGTTGATATCTCACTGATGTTATTCCCGAGGAAATAAAGTTATAAGAAGAATGACTTCCTTTTTCGGAACTTTGGCCTACCTAGACCTTGGATTCATATATTTTTATCGACGAATGCTTCTGAGAAACCGTCCTCACTTAGCAACTGTTCCGTAATATTAGGGTCTTCATTATGTATCCAAAAGAAGCTAGTTCAGACACTTTTCTTATCTTGACCGTCAGGGTTTTATTGATCCTCAGTTTGTTGTGGAAATCTCTTCAATTTTATTTCATATTCTATTTAGTATTACATTTTTATGCTTATTATAACTTAAGCATCTTTCTTGAACTGTGGTAATTCCTCTGTGGTCTTAACAGATCGATGGTATTTAAAACAAAACACCAGTATTATTATTGACGACTATTCTAGAATATTATAGACAGATAGATATAGACATAGATATATAGATTATCGAAGAGTATATTCTGCGCTGAATTTTTTTTTTTTGTTTTTTCCAAATGTCTGAATGAATGTTTCAATGAAAAAATAATACCTTCTATAGAACCCAATTATCAAAGTAGAAGTCTCAATCACATTAATAAAGCCTTATCGCAACAAAACAACAACTTTAGCCATTCACAGTAGCTCTCAGGGGGGTAATTTGAAAACTGAAAAAGTCAGAAGAAAAGCCAAATCGTTTTAATCAACATTATGCATAACGCAAGATGTAGTATATGTACACATACACAACAGGAAGCACGTAAGAAACTGTTACACATTAAGGTGTTAAAAAACAGCCTAATAATACATTTATGTTTTTTTGCATCTGCTTCTAGTTGATCTAGTAGATCTAAGACTCATATCTGACACACATGAGTCTGCATTACTCAACATTGTTGTCCTTTTACCTCGTCGTTTTGGAATTCTAGAGAGGAGAGCTTCACTAAACTTTTGAAATGTTTTTTTAAGTACATAAATATCACCGTGTTCTGCAATCAAATTATTCAAATACATACAATATCTTTCAACATCCATTTTTAAGCCTTCTTCTACTGTCATCTCTTCATATTGTTTAGACGAAAGAAATGGACATTTCGGTGAATGAGTTCCATGTTCTTTATCTGGATCATCCTGAAAATTGGAGGGAGAAAAATAACCCATAAATATGTATAGCGTACAAGGACGTAAAAAAAGTGGAAAACAAATTATAGACTGACAGGTGTGTACACATATTCTTCTCACTAATTAGTTCAATGAGAAAAGTGTGAGTTAGTAGCTTTCTGACTGAGGTGTATTCAACTCTCGACAATGTTCACCGAAGGTACAAATATTGTGTACCGCACATCCGCGGATTAAGCTAGTAATAAAGCGGTAACTTCCAAAACGCAAAAACTTGGTTTCACACCTTGGAGATTACTTCAGTTGATTCTAATGATGGATTCATTGATTAAACAACTGCATGGATTCATACTGATATCAAAGTTGGCACCGAATAATCAAAGAAAAACCATTTCAACCAAAATAAAAAAAACTGGAAGAATAACGCTATGAAAACGATACTTCAAAATCGTCAGAAACGCATTGGCTTTATGTACGGAGGAAATTTTCTATACTTAGATAACAACCAACACTAAATGTGACCCTATTCATTACAACTAATTTCCAGAAAAAATGGAAGTGGACTGGAGTGACCAATAATATCTACTTTGATTTTGTCCATAGCGAATAACCTGAAGTGTTATTATAGTTCTACATTAATTATATCGGTGCACAGAAAAGACTGAATGCTTTCGTAAGCATATAAAAACAACAAACACATAATAACTGTAAAGCTAGACATAAAAATCCAAGCTTCAAGTATTATTTTGCAGGGATTTGATTGACTGAATATCAATGAGATGCCCACTAGTGACTAGCCCTATTCAGGTCTGGAGTTCTAGTGGGAAGTCGTGACGCGTAGGGTGCAGCAGGTCGGGTGCGAGGACAAATACTCGCAGAAGACATTGGCTAGCGGTTGCGCTATGTCGTGAATTGGCAGAAGTTAGAATTCATGGTCCATTGGATCGATCCCAGTGGCTTAATGGTATACAAGCTCGCCTTGTAACCAGAAGGTCCTGGGTTCGAACCATCGTGGTGAGTGCGTACTGTTGAAGAGTCCCAAACTAGACTGACGAAACAGCTGTCCAGTACTCCCTACTGGTTTTCCAATGGTTCTCTAACCAATGCCAGCCCATGATGAAATCCTGTAACCAATCCAAGCTTTATCTGCTCTCTACAGAGTGATCTTGAACGGTTTGCATTCATCGATATTTGTAGACTACTATTAATGTAACAGCAGAAGGCAAAACACGGAAGCCAAAGTATATTTTCAAGCGATCAAACAGCTATTTATATCCATAGTTTTTTCTACCAGTCACTGAGCGTGTGATTTTGGTCTACGTTAAACGACATGAAATAGAATGTTCGAATACATATACAGTATTATGTCGCTAATGCACTACTGAACTGTGGGAATAGTATTCAGACGTTAACACCGACAAGTACAATGATTCTTACTGTGACAATAATATTCAGTTGGAAGTCATTGTCTTTATCATACCACCACCATAGTAGTAGTAGTGTAACAACAGAAGACAGGGGCCAGGCAACAGATCGTTTATTAAGGAAATCAACACGTATTTCTAGATTTTCGTGTACATTATCATAGATTATTGTCAGCAGAAAAACACAGTTTTCTGATTGGTTGTTTCTCACTGAAAGTTAATCTTCCGTCTTTGTGGCTATTTCTTGAATGTCAGATCATCTATATGCTAACTGTATCCGCCTACGCAAAGTCTTTGTTCTTATTTTTCTCACGACCGATATTTGGGACATAAACATTGACTTAAATTAATGTCTACCAGTTTGGCTAGCAGCCAGCTCTCACCACACTACTACTACTAGACACAACCTATTCGTTTTGTCTCAAGCTTTCTTAACCTGTGCACTGGGAAATGTCAGGAGAATGGAACACACGTCAAGGTGAGGTTATCCGCTATCCACCTCATTTGTAATACTCTTAAGTGCTGACAGGAAATATCCAATCTTTACCGAAGTAGGAATATTTACATCAAATATTAAAGACAAAAAGTTGGCTTCAGCACGAAATAATTATAACTTACATCAGGTTCCCATCCTTCTAACTCCTTTAGGCATACAAAACACTGAGTTGAATTTTGGTCTGAGTGCAGTCGATAAAATCCCGACCTAGCTAATTTTTCAGCTGTACACTTTGACCTCCCATCATAAATCCAATTGCTAAAGGTATCTAATCTGTAGGCATAAGAAGAAAGACGATATACGTCGATCGAAAGCCTGTCCCCCATCTACAAAAGTGGTAAAATAGACAAAATCACATTTCCAGACCTCATCAAACAATTATCTGTTTGGCAATATAATTATTAAAGACCGATTCCAAACACTGTCGGTATGCTTTGTAATCTGTCATATAACAACCCCGCTAATTCCGACGAAACGTAATGGCTTCCTTTTGAATTAAACTTGTTACAAAGCATATTCGGTGATTACCAGTGATACTTCAGGAAGTTATTCAAAGAATTCAGTTGTTTCAGCGAAGCTAATGGTATGTTAGTTATCTTCCAAATTAGTGAGAGAGGGTAAGGGGCAAGATAAAGTCGGTCACAGAAATTGCTGATTTAACACCGCAAGTAATAAAATCCATAAAAAATAAATGTAACTTCCCGCATACATAAATGGACTACCTATTAGGACAGACAGCTGCATATCTATACAGAACAAGTGAAATATTTTCCAAGAACTCGGAAAAATCTTCCACATGTTAAATGCCGGAAAGAAGTCAGTAAGACGAAATAAAATTTAGTTTGATACGCTATATTTTTAAATCTCGGTTGCTAAAATTAATTATGCGACGAACAATTTTTTTTGAATACAGCTTGATTCAACACCGTATTTTTTGGTACAGGTATGGGATTTTCAGCATGTGATATCGGTAGCCCAAATTTTGCAGGCCGACCATAGATATCAGGTGTGCGTCGGCAGGTGATCGAACCCCGGACTATGTGCATGGTCGGCGAGAGTCCTAACCACTGTGTCACCGACGCACAACCACCTGTACACCAAATTTAAAAAATTCTGGGATAGGTTAGTGTAATAAATCTGAGGAAATTTCGGAGAAATTCATTTAGATATTAACATTTTCACCACAACCTCAAAGTTGTTTCTTTGGGTAAAAAATTACTTCATGACTGCTTGCCACAATCAACGATGTCTACCTGGAAATAACTTCTCGCCAAATCATAGACTTAAAGACAGTGATTCCATAAACATGTGGTGTGAATTGCATTTATGAGAACACCTGAATGCGCTATTACATCATATAATAATGTCTAAAAGAACTCACCCGCACCGGAATGGTCTTCAAGACTGTAATTTATAATTTAGCCGGCTAGGATACATCATTTGTGCTCTTAGAAACATAGAATTAAGTTCTGATACCATATGCAAGAACTGGCGCGGCATTATGTGCCTGTCCACTCCAAGAAAAATACTAAGCCACATCATCCTGGAGAGAATCAAACACGCCAACATGGATGAGAAACTTAGACCGGAACAGGCTGGATTCAGGAGAAACAAGTCATGCATTGCTCAAATCGCAACACTACGGATCATCACTGAACAGAGCTTGGAATGGAAGTCTCACCTCTCTCTACTTCAACTTCACCAACTTTGAATAGGCCTTCAATAGTGCAACGTTGACTGAGAGCTGATTTGAAAATTTATTCGCTAATACGGGGTGCCGCCAACAATTATACATCTCATCCAACAGTTGTACGACAATGCCGCATGCCAAATAATCCACAACGGGAAACTCACGGAATCTTTCGAAGGGAAGATGGGAGTAAGACAAGACTGGCTGGCTGGCTGGCTACTATGCCCAATGATTTTCCTGATTGCGGTAGACTGGATAATGCGACAGACAACGGGAAACGAGGAGATAGGCATAAAATGGACCCACACAAAAAACAACAACAGACAACAACCAGCACAAACGGGAAAAATCTGAAAGAGGTAACCTCCTTAACCTACCTACCTGGAAAGCATCGTTTCAACTACATGTGGAACTGATGAGGACATCAAAGCAAAGATCGGGAAAGCAAGACAAGCTTTCACTATTCTCGAGTCTGTGTGGAGGTCAACAGCACTCACCATCAAAAATAACATCCGAATTTTCAACTCCAATGTGAAGTCAGTGCTACTATACGGATCAGAGACTTGGCGTGTCATAAAGAGCACCTCAAACAAACTACAAACTTTCATCAACAGGTGTCTTTGCTCAATACTACTCAAGATCAGATGGCTGGCCAGAATAGATCAGCGACGGGGATCTCTGGGAACGAACCAACCCAGCAGGAACCAATTGTGCAACAAATTTTCCGGAAGAAATGGAGGTAGATTGGCCATACTCTGAGAAAACAAACCATCAAGTGACATCGCACGCCAGGCCACTGCTCGAGTGGAACCCGAATGGGAAGCATCGAGTCAGTCGTCAGTGCGAGGGTGACATGGAGCGGGTCATGTGAAGAGAAGATGAAAGCATGTGGGTAAACATGGGGCCAGTTGAAGACGTGGTCAGAGAACCAAACGCAATGGAGGTGTGCGCTGAAGCTCTATGATCCTTTAGGAATGAAAGGAAATAATATACCCTATATGTTCAATGAAACAACTAACATTTTCAAACAGTTCGAAACATCGACTTATGCGCCAAAGTTATAGGCTGTAATCGAATAATCTTTAGTCACAATTTCGAAAACGGGTGGAAAACAATTCAAAGATGAGATCCCAGTCATTTGAAATAATCTACGCGAGCGCCAGATATACAAGCGACCAGCATACATACACAAAATCCATACAACCAACGGAATATAACACGACGAGCAGCAATCACACAAGCAAGGAAGGAAGAACACGAGTTCCGTAAGATCGTGTATTTTGCACAATTCAAGAAATCAGATTACGCGGGATAAGCCTTTTTCTCCCTTCATTCATATCAACTGTTGATAGAAGCTGTTCCGCCTACTCAACGAAATTCAGCATAGGGTATTTCCCTGGAAGGAAAAGAAAGAATATCGTTAAATATTTTAAATATAAAGCTTTTCAGTTTGGTACACAGATACACAATGTCTGCCTAGTAGTGGCACTGCATATGCCTCGTCCCCTCTCATCTAGCAACGTGGTGATTGCTGGTACAATAGCGCCACAATATTAAACCTGTTTTTCTTTCCTTCACGTTCCCAAGTGGAACATAGGGCTTCGAGCTAGTGGCTTGAAGTTTCTTTAGCAGTGTTTATTTTACAGGATGGGGTTGCTAGTCTCATACCTAACCTTTCCCCTTTACCAGCATTATTTCCGGCTTATTGAGGTAAAGGAGTGCGTCGACCGGGGATCGAACCCCTGACCATGTGCATGGTCGGCGAGCGAAGCCTAACTGTACATAATCATAACTGTACATCATAATCATCCATTCTATTGGCCGGGTGCAAATTTTTATTAATATTATGAAGTGACCATTTGTTTATCAAAACTCCCGATTAAACTGAGTATTTTTCAGCGTAGTACAGACACATTATTCTGTGCATTATCGCCACAATTTATTACGAAAAGTCACATCACAATCGAAGACTTAAATGAATCACTTATTAGTTCCGTGTTCTGGCGGAGAGTAATGTAGCGCCGCTATATTGAGCCTAACTGTACATTCATGAAAATAATTCATGAACACATTTCATTCTTTTACAGTAACTAATTTTACATATGCTTGTGGAATATTTGCCATTGTGTTATTGAACATTGCTCTTCGTTTGTTGCATGCATATTATCTAGCGCGGTTATACACTTTTATGTTCGCCTCGCAGTCTTCAAAATTTCATTTCGTTAGCAATCTTATCAAGTTTCTGCCTGCACTTCTTAATGCAACGTTGCCCGTCTTTGGCGGTGCACAGAGTTAGCATACAGTGGAATGTGGATGTATTGTAGTATTATAATCAGACACAGGTCAAAATAATAGATTGGCGGTAGTCAGATTGTCAGAACATAAGAATTTAGCTAAGAAAAAGATCAGATTTGCAGTATAAAATATCATTCTATTTCATGGGTTCTCATCAGCTGCAAGCTATCTGAAATTACAATGGTTATCAATAATGACATGTCATACTTCAATGTTTAAAAGTAATAGAGAAAACACTATAAGATGAACACATGCGGAATATAAGCATTACAATTTTTAGTTTAAGTCACCATAAATTTATGTGCTTTCAAACTATGGGAAGATGAGGGCGAGAGGAGACAGAAAAGTCTAATAAAGTGTTAACTTGTACGTCTACAAAGCAGCTCTAGAAGGTTAAAGTTCATCGAATTGAAAGCTTGCTCGGTGAACTGAGCTCACTAGTGCGTATGACTAATCAGTTTAATCAAAGTAATACGGTTACCAAGGGAGTGAGGGATTGATTACACTCTTTCTCTGCGCATAAGTTTGGTCTGAAACGCTTGATTGCAATTGCTTCAGCAAATCGTAGTAAAATCGCTGTCCTTTTTATGTTTAATATTTTAAAGGGTTCGGATATCTCGACAAAATGACCCGTATACACAAGGTGTCTAATAATTGCACTTTGTAAATATCTGCTTCCTTTTAAGCATAAGTTCCTTGGAACATGCTCTGATAGAAGCCCTTCTTTTTGTCCTTCTAACATACTTGCTGCCGCAGGTAGGTGCACGTAAATTTATAAGTGCTGTTGGAGGTAACATCAGCAGGGTACTTATCCGGTTTCGATTGACTTATAGGGTATGTAGTGCTGTATAGTGTCACCAGCTTAGCTGCAGGGAAGCATCTTTTTATTCCTCCTTTCATCCTCTTGTCAATCTTTTGTGATACTGCTCCTCCTTTGAATGGGGGACGAATAAACACTTTCTTTTTAACTGTTGGATACTTCTCTTCCTCATCTCTTTCTTTGCTGTACTTTAGGATAAATCATTTTGGATACCCGTTTCCCTGAGACATTTTTCAACAAAGCCTAATTCTTCTTCTATCTTGTTAGGCGAACATAACTTCCCTGTTCTGTCGTACTCTGTCGTGCTCTTGCTAATCCTCACTTATAGCTTATAGGGTAGCAGCTGTTGTAGTGAAGATGTCTCGTTCAGTATTCTTTTCTAAAGATGGACTTTTCAATCGTTCCATCGTTTCTTCTATCGCTGATATATCGATGATACATTTGTTGTTTGTAACGAAATGAGTCAGACATCCGTGTTATTTGACCGCCTTAATGAGATTGATCCAAACATTAAATTCACCATCGGATATAAACAAAACGATGAGTTCAATTTCCTGGACCTTCATGCAAAAAGAAGAAATACTGTAACCGTCAAAAAGTCCATCTTTAGAAAAGAATACTGAACGAGACATCTTCACTACAACAGCTGCTACCCTATAAGCTATAAGTGAGGATTAGCAAGAGCACTGTACGACAGAACAGGGAAGTTATGTTCGCCTAACAAGATAGAAGAAGAATTAGGCTTTGTTGAAAAATGTCTCAGGGAAACGGGTATCCAAAATGATTTATCCTAAAGTACAGCAAAGAAAGAGATGAGGAAGAGAAGTATCCAACAGTTAAAAAGAAAGTGTTTATTCGTCCCCCATTCAAAGGAGGAGCAGTATCACAAAAGATTGACAAGAGGATGAAAGGAGGAATAAAAAGATGCTTCCCTGCAGCTAAGCTGGTGACACTATACAGCACTACATACCCTATAAGTCAATCGAAACCGGATAAGTACCCTGCTGATGTTACCTCCAACAGCACTTATAAATTTACGTGCACCTACCTGCGGCAGCAAGTACATTAGATTGGGTCAACAGAGTCCTTTAACCTACAGAGCTTGTCCTTGAGTGGGTTTGTGGGCTTGAATACCGCCGTAATTCCTACTTTTTATCGGTCAAAAGGAAAATAAAAATAATAGCGAAAGTAGTAACATCAAATACAGTATATTTATAAATCAATGGTTTACACACAATAATATTTCGAGCAAAAGTACTGCCCGTGTTCACACCATTGTTGGAATTGTTTTGTTTTTTTAATTCGAATTTAACCTACAAACTCACTCAGGGTCAAGCTCTGTAGGTTAAAGGACTTGCTGACCCAATTCGACAAAATAATATGATTTACCAAATACCTTGCAGTGGCTGTGAGATCAACGACACAGTTCAAACTAGTAGATTGGCGGTATTCAGATTGTCAGGACATAGGAGTTTAGCTAAGGTTAGAATGATTGACCCCTGGAAGATAATTAATTTAGAAAAAAGTTCAACGATTGCGTTGCATGCACTTAGAAACAACCACAATAGGGTGGAAGAGGGTTGAAATTCTAAAAAGTAATATGGGTATGTGGGGAGAGATTACTGAATCTACAACCAACACGTGGAATGACTCACCACTCATACCAGAAATATGGAAAATATTACTACCAATCAAATCAATGGATAAGAAATAATGGAACTATATAAACGAAGTGGGAAAATTATGTGAGTAACCTGATAATATCATGAGCA